CCCCCCGGCCAGCCTAGTCGAGCAGGGATGGCTCGGGCGTGGGCGGGAGTAATGGTGGGCCGGGCTGGGCGGCAGCAGGGGCGTTCTGCTGCAAAGAGAATAAAGACAGACGAGGGGGAGACGGCAGTGAGGCCTGAAGCAGGGCAAGGACAAGGACCCAGGGCCCACCACCCCGCCCCAGGGTGCTGCCTGAGGCTGGATGCTCCTCTGAAGGCCGCCAGGATGCTGGGAATGAGGGCGCCAAGCCCAGGCATCAGTACCCCCACCGCCACTCCCTTGTTCTGTGGCCCTGGGCAAATTGCCTGCCCACCCTGGACCTAAGGTTACTCACAGGAGAAGCGGGGAGGAAAGAGCCTGGCCTGCAGGGTGGGGCGAGGCAGGGCAGGGGTGTGCAATGACTTGACGTTATGTGTCCTCAGAAGGGAAACAGGTCAAAATCAGAAGAAGGGGCTCTGTGTGAGGGGTTGCGAGCTATGTGGTGGGCCCACTGCTCAGGTAGAGGACGGGCCTGGGAGTCCAGGAGTCACCGTGACTCCACCACTCTGTGAACTTGGACTCTCTGGGCCTCTGTCTCCCTACCAGCCCAATAGGGATGCCAGTGACGCCTCCACTAACTGCAGGGCCGAAGTGGGTGGTTCTAGAGGCAGACAGCAAGGGGGGGTCCAGCCTTACCTGGGCACGCCGGGGGGGATGCCAGGTGGAATCCGAGCCGGCCGAGATGGGATCTGAGGTGGGGCCGAGAAGGGGTCATTGTTGGCAAACACGGCAGGATGGGGTCCGGGCCGGGATGGGATAGGGGGTGCTGAGAAGGAGGCCGCTGCTCCCACCGGCACAGGAATCAAGGGTGGCCCCGGGGTGGGGCCCCTCACTGCTGGGGGCCGGCCCGGGGGGTGCACGCTGGACACAGGTCGGCGCTGCGGAGTGGGGCTGTGGAGGAAGAAGAGGGTGTGAACTGAAGAAGGTGGGCGGGAGCACTGGCCATGGCAGTGTGGCTGCAGAAGCCCGAGGCGGGGCATGGGGTGCTGGCCACTGTGGCCTTCTCTGTCACATGGGCTGGCACCAGCTACCACCCAGGGAGATGCAGATGAGTGTCTGGTCCGGGCCAAGGGGCAGCACAGAAGCACTGGGACCCTCCGTCCACCCCTAAAACCCTGAGCCAGGAGTCCAGTGCCTGTCCTTGGCCACAAAGGGCTTCTGTTTCCCTCTGGCCTTGCTCCCTCAGGCATTTCCCTCTCACTGGTCCCACCTGGGCCTCCCTACCTCCTCCAATCCATCCCCTGTAGCCAGAAATCTTTCCAGAGCCCAGCCCTGTCAAATGCCTCCAGAGGCTGCAAACTGTCCAGGTGCCCCACAAACTTCCCCTGGGACTGAGCACCTGCTGCCCCACCAGGCTGGATGCTGTGCCCTCCTCCCAAGGAACTCCAAGGCTCCCTGAGGTCTTGGTAGGGCTGGGACCTTCTGAGTTTTCCCTGACTCTCTCCCCCTGCCACCTGCACTGTCACTGCTTAGGAGTCCCTGCCTGATGCTCTGGCTTGCCCATGCCAGGGCCTCATTTCCAGCTCAGCTCTAGGGTGGTCAGGGCAGGGGATGCTGGGTATACTCATGTGTCCCCCCAGATCCTCCCCTGCCCACCGTTCTTAGCTGTGCTCTGTGCTCCAAGAGGCTCACCCCTATGGCTGGGGTCACTCAGGCCTCTTGCCCTCTTTGGCTTCCATGTGGGCTTAGCCAGGGGAAGGCACCAGGAGACAGGCAGGCCTTAAACTCTTCTCTCTCCCAGTCCCTCCAGGCCTAGGTGGGGTAGCAGCCCCCACTGTGGCTAACCCTGGGTGCTGTGCCATTGTGGTCAGAGCCCTGCATCCGGCCCACCCTGTGTGTGCCCTGACGGACACAAGGGAGGTGGGGGGGAGCTGGGAACCTGCAGGGGGCAGTCTCTGCAGCCTGCTGGTGACCGGGCCTCACGGACCTATGGCTGCTGCTGCTCTGGAGCCAGGTGTCGTCAACGGGCGGGGGGACAGGCGTGGACACGGTGCTGGTGCTAATGTCCCCGATGATGTTGAGCGCCTCCTTGAGCGCGTGGTACATGCGCAGCATGTCGTCCCGCCGCTGGGCCTGGTCAGCTGACTCCTCCATGAGGCTGCTCTGGTCCGCCGACGAGTACAGGTAGGCCAGCAGCTCGTGGTGGATGAAGGCCTTCGTCTGGGGGGCAAGGGGCGGAGAGGTCAGGGCTGGCCACCACCCCAGCCAGGAACTCAGCCGGGCACTGCGACTGGCTGCAGGAGCAGCCGCACCCTCGGCGGGGCTCTGTCTTTAACTGAACCGCAGAACGTGGGAGAGGTTTACGACAGGATGCGTTTTCCAGTCGGTTGTTTCTCGGGTCCCTCAAGGGTGCCTGCAAGTATTCTTCCAACCCATTTCATGAGATTCCTATGAAACTTTCTCCTGATATTTTTTCTCTGGCTTTGGTTTAAAAACTGCTGGTTTCTGTTCATTAATTTTATACTTTCTCCCTTCCTGAATCTTCCTGCAGGATATAATAGTTTTTCAGTTACTTTTCTTGGGGTTTCTAGGTACACACACTCACACGTACATGAGCTTCTAAAAATAGGAACAATTTTTCCTATTTTCCTATCACACCTTTAAGTTATTTTTCTTGTCTAACTGCATTGGCTAGTAATGCTACAGAAAGGTTAAATGAAAGTGGAAATGGCCAACTTCTTGATTTTGGAGGGGATGTTTCCAGAGCTTCCTCATTAGGGGCAAGAGCAGCTTTGAGACTAAAATATATCAATTCAATGGGTATATGATATAACAGAATTCTTTTTCTACAATTGTCTTTTTAAGAATAGATATTGACTTTTCTCAAACTTTCAACATGTGGAAATATGATAATGCTGGATAGTTTTTGATTTGCAAACCATGTAAATGCATTAGCTACTCAAACACTAAGATTTTGAAAAGCTGGTAAAAGGGAAAATAAAATATAACCAAAAGATACAGTGAAAACTCCTTTGTCCACTCTGGCCTCCTTAGGCTCCCTGTTTCCTTTCTAGAAAGTAACTGGTCACCAGGTTCTTATATAAACTTCCAGAGATCTCTAGGCATTTCCCTTGTGTTTCTTCACAAATGGAGCTTTCCTGATTATTCTCTTATATCCCATACCTTTTCCACTTAATAATCGAAGTTATTATACACCTGGAGATAGTCCTCATCCTTTTGTTTCTTGGGGTATTTTGGGGGGGAAGGTTGCAATAAAATGGATATTTATTTAATTGATTGTAATAAATGGATAGAGATATCCAATCTTTGGCCATTATAAAACAATGCTGAAAAGAATAACCATGCATGTGCTCAATTTGCACAATGGCAAATGTCTCTGGGAAAAACTTCTGCAAGCAGAATTGCAACTGCTAGGTCAAAGCATACGTGCATTTTAAATTGCATATCTGCAGCACACCGTATAACACAAGTACCACCTGTATGTCAACTGCACCAGGACACCAATGAAACTTAACACTGATCACCAAGGAGGAGACTGAAGAATGTAGCGAAAGGGAAGGGACATGGGATTTCTGCTTTAGACCCCGTCACATTAAGAGCTTTTCCACAGTCTCAACACAAACCAAACCTGATCTATACAGCTTTCTGAGTGCCTGGTGCTGAGCCCAGGGCCTGGGGCACGAAGCCCCTAAATCCTCCCAGCAGCCCAGAGCAGGAGACACTAGTACAGCTGTATTTCACCAAACAGAAGCCTAAAGCCTTGAGAGGCTCGGGAGCCCTGTGGGTGGCAGGTAACACCCTTGGGTGAAGGCAGGCTGGGCTGCAGGCCATCAGGAGGCCACTGCTGGGGACAGACTCAGCTTGGGTTTGAATCCCACCTCTCACGCTTCTGAGTGACTCGGGCAGGTTCTTGACCTCTCTACGCCTCTGTTTTCCTGTTTATAAAAGGAGGGTGACAGCAGTCCCTCTCCTAGGGTTACTGTAAGGCTGAAGAAATTTAGAGAAACTGCACATGCATGATGTTAGCTTCAACGACCTGATTAAACAGGGTGTGAGCCCTGTGTGCCTGGACCTTCCTACTTCCCAAGAGAGGCTGGGGATCCTGATTTTATGTTTAAAAGGTGGCGACCCACTCTAGTTTTTAACTTTATACAGACCGTGTTCAGGGCAAATCTGGCAGTGACTGGCCCTGGGGTCCCTGGAGAGGCAGGCACTCACGTTGTTGATCATGAGGTGCATGATGGTCTTTGGCATGAGGTCGCGGATGGACTTGTTGATGATGGCCACATACGAGTCCACCAGGTTGCGAATGGTTTCCACCTGCCGCTCCAGCTGCGGGTCCATAGAGAAGGTGTTCTCCTGGGCTCCATCCTCGTTTTCTGCCTGCAAGTGGGGAAGGGAGGCAGTGAGGGGTGACTGAGCCTAAGATGAGTGTGGGGAGCCCCATTCGCTGGGGATTGCTTGCCCTATCCCACCCACCACTGACCCCCTGGGGCTGGCCCCTGATGGCCACATTGGCACCATGTGACCCTGCCTGCCCCTGGCCTAAGCAGCCCAGGCCTGGGGTGGCCACAGCCCAGGCAGGCTAGATCTCTCATCCGGGGACTGGACCATGTTACTTTGGAGGTCGTGTTCACTCCGCCTCAACAACAGGCCAGAAAGAGAGAACAAAGCCAAGAGAGGTCCCAGTCCATGTGTATCCCTGTCCTAGACTTCAGCTGGAGAGCTTTCTGGGCGCTGATGACAAAACCTTCTCCCCTTTCTGCTTTGTTTGTTCAAGAGGGTATAGGCTACTTGCCTTCAAGGCATTCTGGTAAACATAGCCTGAAATGACCCATCCCTGGAGATGCTGGCCCCCTGTCTTCTCCCAGGTGGAGTCAGCTCAGCTCAAGGTGTGTGGGCTCGGCCAGGCTGGGTGGCCCCTCACCTGGTCCTTCTCAGGGTAGACCCCGGCTCGGAGGAATGAGGCCTTCCAGCTGTCCACGTCCTCCTGGGAGTCACAGGCCAGCTCGATCTGCCGCAGGTCTTTGTAGACGTTCCTGAGGTGAGAGGGAGGGAGGAAAAGACATGTGATTGACCCTGCCCACAGGCCCGGCAGGTGCAGTGAGCTGGCGCACAGGCTCTGGGGTCGGCCTGACAGACCATGATCACATGGGTCTGGGCCATGTGACCCAGGCACTCAAGACCAGAGGCCCCATGATGGCAGCAGCCCCTGAATCCCATCGGGCCAATGGAAGTGCCATAAATTCATGCCTATAGCACCAAAAACCGTACCAAGAGCAGGGGGTACCCAGCGAGTCCCTGCATCTAGCAGCATCCACGGTGTTTTATCTGTGGGCTCAGTCACTCCTCACTTTCCCCTGGGAACAGCCCATCCTTCCTTTATGCTCTCCTGTGGGGGCCAAAGGCTGCCAACAACCCCTCAGAAGTGGGCAGTGTCCACGACACCCTCCCCCAGTTGGGAAGCTCGCGTGTCTGTTTTCAGAGAGGCTGCAGCGACGTCATCCAAAAGAACGTTCTGTGACGGTGCAGACGTTCTCTACCGGCGCTGCCCGACAAGGTGCTTGTTTCTGAGCACCAGGAATGGGATCAGGATGGCCGAGAAAGTGAATTTCAATCAATTTACATTTAAGTAGTCACATGTGACTAGTGGCTACTGCCTTGGACAGTGAAGGTCTAGCTTGGGCCCTGATTAGGTGGGTGGAGCTGTCCAGGGACAGGACCAAGACTCCCAGCAAAGGCTTGTGAAATGCTAGACAAATATGGGTCTGTGAACGGAAGAAAGGTGCAGAGCCACAAGGCTGGAGGAGAAACAGATGGACACCAACCAGCGCTTATGGACAGTATTCTGTATCTACATGCCAGGACTCATGCCATCCTGTCCCAGAAGGCAGGTGTGGCTGAGACGGCTAAGCTGTTGCAAAGCCTTTGAGTGAGACTTGGGTTTGAGGTTAGGCATAAATGGCCTCATGAGACTGCTCTGGACAACCGGCAGTCAAGTGAGTGGTTGCCCTGAGCCTTCTGGAAAGAGCTGAGAGTGAGGCTGGGGGGCATGCTTTGTTGCTCCTCCTCCACCTTCCTGCTGCCTGAAACATCATCACGATGGCAGCCATCTTGGACAAAGAGGAGGAAGTCTGAGAAAGGAGGAGGAGGGCCTGGGCCTAGATAACTGTGGAGTTGCTCAGTGTGCCCAGAATAATCAAAGGCTGGACTTAACTTACGTTAAAAAATAAATAAAGAAAATAAAGAAAAAAAACCTTCTATCTTGTTTCCACTACTATCATTCTGGGTTTCCTGGACTCATCCCTAAATGATACATTAGGTAGTATCTT